GGGGGGTGGGGCGGGGGTAGGGGTATATGTATTTTATATGCTGCCTGGGCTCCACCTGTTATACGTCAAGGGGCCCAAAAGAACCAAACAATGAAATTAAAAACCTTATGCTAGTGAGAAGTCAATAAGATACAGAAAACCAGAGCTGTGTTATGTGCAGGTCAACAAATGCAAATTTCAATAATGTATTTAGATTTCAGGAACTATATTTTATATGAATAGATCAACAACTAGTCTGCCTAACTAGCTTTATGCCACATCCAACTCCTCCTACCACCATGGACTTTAGTGGACAGCCCCCACACATCTATTAACCCCATAATTCTGTGTAAATTGTATCATCTTAAAAAACAAAAATTGATCATCAACTGATACATAAAACTGAAAGCAAAGACGGGAGACTTTGATCGTTTGAATTCCATCGTCATCGCCGTCGCCATCGCTTACCAATAAAATGCTAAAAATCTATCTTTAGGACATGTAGAATTCAGAGTTTGAATCTAGGTTATTAGTTTTCAACAGCAGTACTGATAATGGTAATTGTGACACAGAAAGGTATGTGGACCTCAGCGGCCCAACTCTCAGGTGGTGCATAATCTTGTCCTCAAAAGTCAATTCTGGCCACTGGGTTCCATGCTGGTCAGATTCCATTTTGTGTGTTCCTAGTTGGTCACACTTCCAATAATATTTTGCCACGTCAGCATTATGTGAGGATTATCCACTAGCCTTTGTGAGCTACCATTATTTAGAGAATAGCAACCCACCTAACCCAACTACCAAACCATCTCATTTTGTTTTCCTACATTATTCCTAATATTCCCCCCCCCCCCAAAAAAAAAAAAAAAAAGTATATATATATATATATATATATATATTGCTACCAATCTAAATATTTGATCTTTTTCAATTTGATATCCGAATTATAATTTTATTATGCAATCTCAATAGAAAAACTATCATCTCTTTGATTCAGATTCTGATTCTGATTCTCTCAATTTGTACAATTTGGATTTTAATTCTCTCAAATCCAATAATTATCAATTTTTGTTCAACTTCAACCCACCATTGATTTATTCGGGTGCCACCCATCGATTCCTATGAATCCAACGGTATCCAATATAGAATTCAATAAAGTTTAGAAAAATGTTATTTGTACCTAATTTGAGGTTCTAAACTTGAGACTTAATCAACAATAGTTATTGGATTGAAAATGAGTCTCATCTAAATTTAAATCTTATAACTAATTTAATAGTTGTAATGAATTACGTCACTAATTAAGTTCTCAAATTAAATCTCTATAGCACTATTCATGTAGGTAATTGGTGGATGAATAAATCAACCACAATGGTAAAATTTGAAATCGAGAGGATTCAATCCCGATTATTCAAACCACTATTATTCAAAAATTTTCCCACAAAAAAAAAAAAAAGAAAACCAAGCAGCATACGAAAACCTTAAATTTGGGGAGGTGTTTTGTTATCTAAATCACACAATTCAAAAGTTTTTTTCTAGCTCTCTTAACATGCAGCAACCCATAATAGCAAAGAAAAACCAAAATAAATGTAAGATTTAGGGGCAAAAACAAACATTTTTTTAAAGGTGGGGGTGTTTAAGTAAATTCAATGAACCTACGTGAAAGTGCCATTAGATAATTCAATCAAAGCTTGAACCGCCACCTTCCGCCGCCGTGCCACTTCCGAACCCACCATCTCCACCAGGGGTGGCACAACCCCGAGGCCACCCATGATTTTTCTTCTCTTCAAATCTCCACCAGCGAGTCTCTTTATGTCTCTTGCTGCCGCCTCCTTCTCTTCCCAGCTTCCAAAGTGAAGTTTCTTCACAGACGTTTGAAGAACAGCAAAATCATCCTCACTTTCGCTCTCCATAGTACCCTCCTCTTCTGGGTTGGGTTCTTTGGCTATGGTTTGAAGTCTTGGTGTGTTGTTTTGATCGGAGGGCTGGTATGGCTTGTTGTTGGAGGTTTTGGGGTGGAGCAACCGTCGGATGCGAGTGAAGAATCGTAGCTTCGTGTAGGTGATGAACCAAGTGGTTGAAGAATCAGACATACTTGGACATGTAAGATGAGAGACTGATTGGAACTTTTTGTAGTCTTCTTCCTTAAATAAGTCTCCTCCTGTCCTAATATCTGACTTCTACATAGAGAGAGAGAGAGAGAGAGAGAGAGAGAGAGAATATGAGAATATAGAAGATGACTTTCCAGGCAAAAACAAAGATAGCCGAGAGCACATGCAGAGTCACAAAGATGTCTGTTACACAAAAGGATATACACAATCTGAGAGAAGTTGCCTAACAAGTGATACAAGGGTTGTTATTGACATAGACCGTTGTTACGTGCATCAAATTTATTGATTTAATTTTAGAGCAATGCTATCGAAATTTAATTTATTGACCTAATTTGCTAACCTAATTCACTATGATCTTTGGATTGACTATGAAGCCTATTAAACATTGAAACTTGGTGCTGATCTAATGGTTCTACTGAAGCCACATCATTATATCAATAAATTATGTCAGATTTTTATATCTAAATAGTATTACTCTTAATTTTATTTTATTTTATTTTTTTGGCTTAATAGTTAGGGGCATAGTTTTAAAACCCGGCCCGGACACCAACCCGGAGAAGGGACTGGGTCAATGGATTTTTGGTTCAACCACTGGGTCACTGGTCGAACCGGTGATATAATAAAAAAATAAAAAATAATTATTAATGATGATAAATAGACTAAAAAATTAAAATAGTTATAAAAATAACATGTTTAATATATATTAAATCAAACAAAGTTATGAATCACTTAATTGCATTCAATTAACAGCCCAGCCTCTACCCTCAAACTTAAATCACTTAATTGTATTCACTTAATTTTTGAGTTAACAAACACTGAACGAATGGTTTAGGATTTAGGGCAAAACAGAAGGGGAAAAGAAAAAGATACAAAAATGTAAAAAAAAACCAGTTCTTTGCTCAAACAGTCTAATTACAAAACCGGCCCGGTTAGGGACCGGTTCATCGAGTCACTAGGTCAACCCGCCGGGCCGGGCCGGATTTTAAAACACTGGTTAAGGGTATCCGAGAGTGTACCTCAACTAATCATATTCTCAGTCTGATAAAAAACAGACCATCTATGTCGTAACTAGAGTATTCGTGAGGAATTAAGTTTATAGTTCATGATTGTTACTATTTGAGCTATTTTTTGAAATTTTTGATTTTACTTATTTTGTTGATTTAACCATTTACAATCATTAGATTGACTAGGGTCCCAGTATTCATTGAGACCGCTATCAATAATATAATTATAATGAATTATGTCAATAAATTAAATCTCAATAGTATTATTGATTTCCATAATACTCGGGTTTTTTTCTTATATCACTCCAATACCTCAATCAAGTTTAATTTATCTAGGGTGCAACCAGTTTGTGACCTAATTTGAACTAAACTCAATAATGTTTTGTTCTAAGATTTTTCAGGTCAGCTACGTTAATCCTCTTTTGTTATTGTGTTCTATAAAGGGCTTGGACTAATCAAAATCTATTTCGTATTTTATTGGAGTTTTTTAAGACTCAGATTAGGTTTCAGTATAAAATCTTAACTTGGTTTAAATTTGACAATTGTTGTAATAAAATCTCGAGTTTTCTAGACACAAGCATATTTATTCCGAATTTGTTAACTCGGATTCAACGAGAATCAAGTATGAATTTCAATACAAGTTTTCTAATATTGAACCCGAAATACACCCATGAAATGAATCTAAATTTCAAGTTAAGCATGAATAATACTCAAGTTGAAGAATTATAATTAAATTGAAAATGAGAATTTTATAATTTGAGCTGAATCTGAATGGTCTTTTCAATCCGGCCTAATTGTACCCTGTTTTATGTCTTTGGTAAGCTTTCCAAAGTTAATGCTATTGGACACTGAATTGGTGAGACATGACCAAAAGAAGTTTAATATCAACGGTCAAATTAAATTTCTGTTTTTGGTCGGCAGTTAAATAAAAATTATTGTAAACGAGTAGTAAATTTAGTCGTTTTGAATTCGAATTTTAATAATTTTTTAAGGACAGGTCAATCATAAGAGATTTATCTATCATGAATATCCTATCTTTAACTGAACTTGAGAAAAAATTAATTAATGTATACATAAACTGTTTCGGACGTCTCGATGGGTAAAAAATTAAGGCTATGGGTATGGGAGGGAACCTAATTTGGGACCATGAAGTAGTGCCTTATGTATAGCATGTGCCTACCTAACAGTTCCACTTGGAGAAGTTTCGTACCATCCATCTGAATCGGACGGTCGTGGAGGACCCTTTTGCTGACTGCACGTTCGAAGAGTAACGATGTTCGAAGAGTAATGCTATTCACGTCAAATTTTTCGATCGACTATATGGTGTACCATTGTTAATATTTTGTTGAAATTGTGTATTTTGAGAAATTTTGTTGATTTTTAAAAAAAAAATGAGATGAGTATAAATTAATTTTAAATTATGAGCTCGTTTGACAGACGTATTATGAGGGGATTAAATATTAAGTTGTACTATTTTTTATTTAATCGGATCTAATACTTTATTTAGACCGTATTAATTTCAAAAACGCATATTAATCATATATTTATTGTATATTTTTTATACGATAGACCTGTATTATAAAAATATTTTAATACCACCAAAAGATATGGTATAGTAATCCAACTCAAACGTATTATTCTACACATTTACTATTATAACCCTTTTGTTGATAAAATCAAGTTGTCATCAATGTAATAAATACTGATTAAGAGTATTCTTGTTAATGTAACATTAATACGAAAAAATCATTTTCTATCCAAACAATCGATTGTATTAAATAACTATTATCAAATGTTTATGTTATATATTGTCAAACACTAAATAAAATTACGTATTTTTCTAATACTCTATTTAATCTTGTATTTTATCCATCTGTATTATATTATATTGTATTATTTTCTCCAATTTATCTACTTTTAATACGAAAACCAAACGAGCCCATGTGTACGGAAGAAATTTGCACAAAGAAGTTTTAAGTGACTTAGGAGATTCCAATTCTTAAGTCCGAAGAAGAGTATAAAGTTAATAGGCTAAGATTGAATTTCATTACCTGATATGTAAAGACTTTTATTTATAGTAATAATTTGAAATTGTGTCCCAAAGGAACTCAAACTCTAGGTGATGATAGAATGAACTTCATCACCGAGTCCTTGAGTAATGTTAGACTGAGATTCTTTCTCCTAAGTGACTTATCTCTATCTCCTACGTATTCGGAGTGTTTGATTCAAGCTCTTGGTCTTATGTTGAATCGTACGAGTAGGACTTGTCTAATGGAGTTGGGTAAGAAGATCGAAATAACGATCGGCACTTGGACATTGGGTTGGTTGGCGATCGACTAAATACCTTCTAGAGGTCCTCCACACTATGTAATTAAAAAACGGAAAAGAAAGAAAAATTATTATCTGATATAGTAGTATTTTTTTTTTCGACACTCGAATTTTTTGTTGCATAAATACCTGGAGGCAGAGGGTATCCCTAATCCTTTTATATATCAAATGGACTAAATGTATTTATGGAAGTTTATTAGACGGACTAAATTCCTGATGAGCAGTAATTGGTAATGTTTGGAACATTAGGCATGCTACCAAACTTTTGGGATTTGGGGGGGGGGGGG